TGAAAACATACTCTCACATTGACGACAAGATTCAAGAAAAGACCAAGACTGTGAATATCTTTCTGATTCTTATGTCGTTTGAAACCAAAACTCTTTAGGGTTGTACTTTATCAGCCATTTACATTTATGTAACGTCACAAACGCTTAATGTGTAGAGATAAGACTGATGTCACCGCCTCGCGTGATAACAGTGTACTTAACTGCGTGGTTACCACCACCATCTTTATATCGTCATTTAGGCATTCCTTTATTATTTACTTTTTATTTTATCGTGTAATTTATTAGTCTACTATTAAACATAATTTTAATACAACCCTTTGGTTACAGCATTTTACTTGCCTATTTTGATAGATAAATGTTAACGGTAGTGTCATTCTGATGTACTTCAGACACGTTTAGCTGTTCTACTTCTTGTTTCGGATTTGATTGCAAATAAGTTGGCAAACGTTATTAATTTGATTTTTTTTATATTTATGAAGTTATGGCCTATGCATGGATTTTGTTAAGTATAAGAATTAATTGAAAAGACTTGCAGAGACCAAGTTGCGGCACTAGGGAGTGATGACAATGGATTGGTTATGTATTTCCCATGTCAGTGTGATATTAACCTACCCAGATCATAATCTTTTAAAGTTTCAAAGAATTTTTTAATTTTTCTTTAGATTCTCTAATGATGAAATTGAAAAAGTGCACTTACAATTTTGGGAGTCACATCCATCAATCTTTACAATACGGATTGACGATAAAGTAATTATAAATCACAGAATTGGACATATTTATTTTATTTCCATATCAAGGATTAGGGTAAAACTACTGGAATTTAAAAAGTGAATCTCATTGCAATACAACACAGACTGTCAAACTACGATAAGTTAAGTTAAGTTAAGTATCATATGATTCGTTTTTATAGGAGGAAAATCGGTCAAAACTGTGTGACAAATGAGGTGTGATAATGAGAACGTCTCGATGTAGGACTGGCAGAGCTGCAGTTGCGATAGCGTCTGTCACTGTCTGGATTTGTCATCATCAGAGCTTATCTCAGTTCTCTTTCTATCCTCGCTGTCACATTAGTCGCAAACATTTGCTTGGAAGAGAGTATTACTACTTGATGTAGTAGTTATTTTCTCGATTACTATAAATTGGTGTAAAATACCTGCATTTATGCGATCTTGTGTTGTAGCTGAGTTGCTACCGGTTTCAACTCACATTGGAGTCATCTTCAGGCAGTTATAAGATGTCTTCTCGCTTCATTCGAAGGTCGTCAATGGATAATAAATAAATAAACAGAACACAAACACGTACACGGACATAAAAAAGAACATTTAAAGCTGTAAAATACTGAAAACGGTAGGCCTACGGGACACGACACGACGTGATCGGGCGAAAGTTATGTCTAGACTACCGTTTTCAGTATTTTACAGCTTTAAATGTTCTTTTTTATGTCCGTGTACGTGTTTGTGTTTTGTTTATTTATTTATTATCCATTGACGACCTTCGAATGAAGCGAGAAGACATCTTATAACTGCCTGAAGATGACTCCAATGTGAGTTGAAACCGGTAGCAACTCAGCTACAACACAAGATCGCATAAATGCAGGTATTTTACACCAATTTATAGTATTTAATTGCGATCAGGAGGCTAAAATTCAGTATAATGATTCTCGATTACAATTTCAAGCCCATTCACAAACATCCCTACTGATTGCAAAACAACATTACTGGCCTTTATAAATAATTTTCACACGAAATGACTAACTATCCTATGCTTGGCACATGTCTACTCTTTCTGTCATTGAAGTGTCTAACGTAAACAAAAGTGCAATTTCTCAACGTTGTTAATACTAATTAGGGGTGACTTCTTGATCAGCATCGTATGTGTTATTGAATTACCAAAAATAAAAAAAAAATACGTCAAACAACACTTGTTAAGTACTTTCAGGTATCATTAGGGGACAGCAAGGGGCATTGAGTTCTTAAACTATTTAGTTTCAGTACGCTTTAATGTGAAGAAGAAAAACAGTATAAATTTTACCAAAGACATTTGTTTTTCAAACCAAGAGAGATTTTGAAACTATAATTAATTTTTTTTACTACATAGAAATTGGTTAAATACCACAGATAACTGAAAGAGGCTGCCGGGGTTTGGTCATTAAGATAAATAAATCATAGCTACATTACGAGTAAATAAATAAACAGAACACAAACACGTACACGGACATAAAAAAGAACATTTAAAGCTGTAAAATACTGAAAACGTTAAAATGAATCCACAAGAAAATGTGAACCTTAATTGGAAATGTTTTCGATGAAACGGTAAACGCGTAAATAGCATTGCTTTGTGTAAATATTTACTAAAAAGTCATCCAGAGATCAAACATGTTTTCAATATCGACCTTGTATTAAGCATTCTCTAATAATTAATAGATAAATAGCTCTATATCTCGCAGTTTCCAAGATTTCTTTACTTGCACTTTGTTATTTTACCTGTTTATTGTTTCAAAAAAAAAAAAAAAACAGTTTTACTGTAGGATTTGTATGATTTTATTGTTCTAATTGTTTTAATTAATTTACTACTTTGGAGATTTCTATACAAAAGTCTCTTTGTTTATGATTTTAGCTTCTATAGACCAATGTTTCCGACAACGTTTCCGGTTAGTAGGACCTCGACTGCAGGGTGGACCATCCTCCCAGTCATCAGGACTTCCGGTGTCTGCATTAAACAATGGTTGAGGCTGTTCATGAATTATTTACCTCGGGGCGTTCCCTTTGAGATTGAAATGTTTCGATTGAGTTCTCTAAACGCATCTCAGCCATAAACTCAACTATTGCTATAAACTTCGCGTCACAAACCACACAATCTGGTGACATTAATTATCACTTAAACTCCCCGTTCACGTTGAAGTCAGTTTCTTCACTAGAACCTTGCTGTGGTCAGTCCACTACAGTTGATAATTTCAGTACAATATATTATCGAATGCTATTAAACTAGACCCTTGTTAAAATAAACCATGTTATTTCAATTAAATAACTTTATGAGGGTGAGATAACCTAAAAAAAATCAAGCATAATTTTTACAAATGTTTTAACACCATTTTGTTGTTCAATTGTTGTTCAGTTTTCTTCAGCAATATATTTTTTTTAATTATTATTTGTGAAGTAATACTTTTAATGAAAAATTTTAATTAGCCTTTAAATAGGGATTTGGAATTTGTAGATTAATTTAATTTGTTCATTCCGAAATGAGCCTTGCACAGTATAATTGTTACTTACGGTGAACCATACATGTTAATTATGTGTTTTGTCATAGTATTTAAACAAAACATTAAGTAATTTCTTAGGAGTATTTATGTTACTGGACTATACTGTATTATAATATTTAACAAGATTAGGATAATTAGCTCTCATGGAATTCCCTTTAAAAGAGAGCATCAAGAATATGAAGAGCTCATTGGAAATCAATATAATGCAGTTTAAGGCGACCGTTTCACTTATTGCCTTCCATTAAATGTGGCCCGATATTACCTCTCCCCAACGGTTGAAAATATCTTTTGTAACATTTCAAATAATTTTGTTTCACAAATACAAAAACGCATTATCACAAAGAAATACTCTGAAATTTATTTTTTCGTTCAAAATTAAAGTAGCAAATTAATTGTTCACTTACTTATTTCAAAATAGTCTTTTGTCCTTCTATAGAAAGAAGACTTAGTTAATCACTCCTTGATTAGATCCACAAACTTTACATTTGTTTGCATCATTTACTATTTACTTATCTGTTAGTCTAACCAATGTTGGTTAGATTAATTCCTTTGCTAATTCAAAAACATGTAGAAGACCAAATATTCGTTAGTTTATTCAAAAACACATTTGAGTGTCATTGTATAATTGTTTTAAATATTCGTTTAAACACGTATTTGTCCAAATTTGTGTAACGGAACTTTAACTAATTTATTTCACGTGCCTAACAGTTTTATACATTTTGCATGTTAGCCGACATTGTAAAGCATTGTAAAGAATACTTTAATCGACTCCCTTATGACCTTAACATGTTAAAAATAGATTAATTTACAGGTTTAATAACGAATAAAAAACATCATAAAACTTCCCCGACAATGTTTCATGTTTTTTAAATGGCTTAATTCAGCAACAATTAAATTTAAATCAATCAAATACCTAAAACATAACCCTTATGAAGGGAGCTTATGTGAATGAATATAAAGTTGGTATTGAGAACAATGTCGAAAAGGTTCTTTGGAAACAAATAATGTTGGTATTAAAATATCCATCGGAAATGTTTTCGATGAAACGGTAAACGCGTAAATAGCATTGCTTTGTGTAAATATTTACTAAAAAGTCATCCAGAGATCAAACATGTTTTCAATATCGACCTTGTATTAAGCATTCTCTATGATGAAATTAAATCATTACGGTTTTTAACTTTGAATTGTTTCTGTTTAGTATTCTATTTACTCCATCAATAGAATAAAGGAAAACGTTTAAAACATGCTGGACCTAGCTATTAGGGCCGAACCAAGAGAAAAACCTAAAGGAAGCCTCAATCAAAAAGGAATCAGTGACATATAGGGCTTTACAAGACACGCTTGGCCCTTAGTATGGCTGAGCTTTGGAATTGGGTCCTCTGAAATATTGCTTTAACCCCTATGAAACAGTTACTTCTTTAATAGGTAATACCTCATAAGTTAGCAGTCATGGTTTTAATAAGTTTATTATACAGTGAAGATCATGTTAATAGATGGTGTGTGAGAGTGATGAGGGAAAGGCCGTCACCAAAGATCACACTATTAGACGCCAATGGTATACCTGAATAATATAAATCCAATGGCAATAAATTGTTGAATTTACTTTACACATAACAAATGCTACGGTGATGAGTTGAGGGTTTTTGTGCGAATGCGTATTCCTCTCGCCACTGTAATTGACATGACTACTACCGTTCTGACAATGCAACACACATAGCTTCAAATATATTTTTTGTTTCAGATTGGAACAACCCAGTATTTGCAAATCCACAAGAAAATGTGAACCTTAAGCACAAGTGAACTCCACATCGTAAAATATAACAAAAGGTATAAAGTGACAAACTTAAATTATTTATCATAGGATGTAAAACTATTTAAGAGGCTATTAAAAGAAAGTATGAGATCCTATTGCATGTTCAGATGATGTTTAATGATCCAGATTTGTTTGCTGAAGAATTCAATACATTTTTCATAAATATTGGACGGATCAAAAATGTTAAGAAATGTTCTTTTAAATCAATGTACAGTTATAATTCTATATTTTTACACGATATAAATTAAGAAGAGATCAAAAGAACTATTAACTATACATAATCCTCTACATTTTATGGCTTTAATGAGATCTCTTCTAAAATTTTTAAATCTTGCTCCTCAGAACTGTCTACTCCTGAGACGTATTTAATAAATCAGTCCATAATTATTAATAAACTTCTAAAGTCATACCAATTTTAATACTGATGAAAATGCAAGCAATTACAGACCAATATCTATAATCTGTTGTCTTAATTCCATTTATTGATAATAACAAATATGTAAAATATTATAGTTCAGAAAAACTTGAAACAAAATCAGGCGTCCCACAAGGTTCTGTAGTAGGTCCAATTTTATTTATAATTTGTATTATGATGTGACATATTCAAGAAAGTTATCTGAAGTAATATTATTTGCTGATGATAAGGCCTTATTGACATCAAGCCAATATAGAGAATAATTATAAATAAAATGTATTGAAGAAGCAAATGAACGAGTACAATGCTTCATTGAAAATCATTAAGAAATTAATTTAAATAAAAGAAAATTTAACGAATTTTCTATCACAGATAAAATAAATACCCCCGCCGCAGCAAACCTGCCGACTAAGCGAATTTCCATTTGTCTGAATTGATTTTCAATTAAATATATTTTAATATCATTAGGTTTAACGAGTACCTAGGTTTGCTGCTACAAGGAAACTAATAAAGTGTGATCAAATTATATCCATAAACAAGCAAACTACAACATTTGACAATATTCTCCATAAGAATAACATAGGAATTTTAAATTTACAATTTTTTAAATTTTCTTCGTTACTAATAACCGAAAAAAAAATACTTTTATATACTAAATTATTTGTTTTTTAAGCTCTTTAAAAAGGTCTAAAGAGAAATTGGGAAATTTTGTGTTTTGAGGGTCAAAAGTGAGAAAAACCAATTTTTACCCCATAAAACCCCGTTCCCATGGTCGGATCATGCTGGTTCGCGAACTCATTCAACTTTATCCCGCTTTACACCTTTAAACCAAATTTCATCAAAATCGGACAAAAATTACTCAAGTTATCGCGTTCACGGACGTATATATATATATATATATATATATATAAATCTATATATATATATATATATATACATATATAAAAATTTGAACGAATGGTGTTTTTGGCCTCTGGGGACATCAAAATGAAAAAGGAAATTGGTCCCGGGTCTAGGTCTTACCGTGCCACCTACGGTAATAACTACTTTTCCCTATAGGGAAATTCGCTAAAATGATTTCAACTTAAATATTTTAATCGATGATTTTTGGTCAAATAATTTATATATTTGTCCTAATTAAAACACTTCAGCTTTTTTTGTTTACGAAGTTATTACAAAATTATTTTACTTTGTTTACCTACGAGCGTTTTTTAATGTAACCGTTTCAGTTCAGTTCTTATATTTAATAGGTTTCACTAAACAGCATTGTTTTACTTTTATAACAGCATAGTTTCACTTATAAGAACACGGGTAACGGACCAATGAGGTCCAAGGATCGAGAGAAGAAGTAAAATTGTAATGATTCTAATCAGCTGTTCAGGCCAATGTAATTCTTGAGTGGTGCAATTAGTGTTTACTACAATGTTTTGTTGCATTACTGTAAGTGGCAATGAGAGGTTGTAAACGAAAACATAACCTCTCTTAGAAGTTATGGATAGTGATTGTTAGTAATTAAAACACTGTCGTAGGTAAAGTAGTGTACTTCAATGAAGTTTACTGTCCCCTCCACGAAACATTGCCATTGAAGTCTGGTTCTATAAACCTACCTGAACACAAGTGTGACGGCCTGGCATATTTGCCTCATTTTGTTGCCATTTGTTAACTCTGAGCTTAAGCTGATTGGCCTTACTCCCTAAACCTGGCCCGTTGGCTATCACCGAATATTTACTAGGTTGATGTGTCAACCGTATTTAGCAATATTGCATTTTATTTAACTTCAAATAAGTCTCCAAGTGAACCTTATAACTCATACTCCAATTCATGTCATTACTTTCTTTTTTCTTTAATCCCGTTGACTCCTCCTGGAGGATAGGGCCTCAACTGTTCCCCTCCACCTCACTCTGTTGGCTGCTTCTCTCTTAATCCCCTCCCAGGTCTTTCCTCTCTCCTTCAATTCTTCCAACAACGTCCTTTTCCATGTTTTCCTTGGTCTACCCACTCTCCTGCTCCCGGCGGGGTTCCATTCTAGTGCCTCTTTCGCCACATCATCATGTCCTTTCCGTAGTGTGTGCCCTACCCATCTCCATCTTCTTCTCCTTATTTCTACATCGATTGGCTCTTGGTTTGTTCGTCGCCATAGTTCTTCGTTTGTTATGGTTTCGGGCCACCTTATCTTCAATATTCTTCTCAGGCACTTGTTTATACAGGTTTGCAGCTTGCTTGCTATCCCCTTACTCACTTTCCAGGTTTCGCAGCCATACAGCAACACACTCTTCACATTTGAGTTGAAGATCCTTAACTTGCTCTTTATTGAAAAACTGTTTGACCTCCAGATCTTATTGAGGATGCTGAAAGCTCCAAGGGCTCTATTTATTCTCCTGCCTACATCGGTTTCAGTTCCCCCATTTCTATCTACAACTGAACCTAAATATAGAAAATCTTCAACTTCCTCTACTTCTTCATTTTCAAATCTAATTACCCCTTGAGTCTCGTCATTGACCCTCATGTACTTGGTCTTCCTTTTGTTAATCTTTAGACCAATTTTTGACGCCTCTTCATTTAGTTTTTCTGTCTTTTGCTGCAGCTGCTGTCTCGTTGCGGATATCAAACACACATCGTCTGCAAACTCTAGGTCCTCCAACTGCTCAAAAACTTTCCAAGTAATCCCTGCTCTTCTTTTGGTGCTTTCCCTCATTACATGGTCAATCATGATCAAGAACAAGGTCCCAGACAATGAGCATCCCTGCTTCACTCCACTATTACATTCGAACCCCTCCGAGATAATGCCTTGATGTATGATTTTCATTTCAAAGTCATGATAAAGAACTCTTATCATTCTCACTATCTTCTCGGGTATACCGTATTTCTGCAGAAGTCTCCATAATACACGACGATTTGCACTGTCAAATGCCTTCTCAAAATCTATGAAGAGCAGGTGAACTTTGTTTCTCCATTCAATTGACTGCTCAATAATTATCCTGAGCGTTGCTATATGGTCCGTGCAGCTTCTACTTTCTCTGAATCCGGCCTGATTCTTCCTCAGTACCCTATCAACAGGATCTTTAATTCTTCTTTGTAATACTTTAGCCAGTATTTTGCTAGCAGTGCTGAGTAGAGTTATTCCCCGCCAGTTGCCACATTGTGTAAGGTCGCCCTTTTTCGGCAGTTTGACTAGCAATCCTGTTCTCCAGTCTTCAGGTATCTTCTCCTCATCCCATATTTTTCTTAACAATTTATACATGATTTCTTCTGAGATTCGTGGGCTGTTTTTGAAAAACTCTGCAGGTACTTCATCTATTCCTCCGGCCTTGTGGTTCTTCATTTCTTTGATGGCTGCCTTTATTTCTTGTTTAGTTATTTCTCCGGTCTCTATCCTCAGCTCATGTAAACGCTCATCCGTCAATTCATCCATGCCTCCATCTTGGTCCCGGTTTAAAACACTTTTAAAGTGTTCTACCCATACCTTCATCTGCTCTTGCTCATCTGTTATCATTTTGCCACTTCTGTCTCTTACGGGTTTATTTCCATTCTGGGATTGTCCAGCTATTCTCCGAGTGCAATTGTACACTGTCTGCATGTCATTTTTCCCTGCAGCTTCTTCTGCTCTCCTCATTACATCTTCTTCAAAAATTCTTTTATCTCTTCTCGCACTCCTTTTTACTTGTCTGTTTACCATTCTATACTGCTCTTTTAGCTCCATTTTTCTCTCTTCTCTTTTTTCATTCAATAAGCTTCTCTTCAGTTCCCTTCTTTCATTCACCAAATCCCAAATTTGCTCTGAGAGCCATTCCTCGTCTCCCCTCTTCCTAAGCCCAACTGTTTCTTCAGCTGCCTTTTTGTATGCTTCCTTTGCCTTCTTCCACATTTCATCTAAGTCAGTACATTCTGTGAAACTAGCCTCTTCCAGATTTTGTTCTAGTTCAGCATTGTATCTCAATCTTACATTTTCATCCTTAAACCTAGCAACATTAAACTTCTTCCTTGAAACTTTGTCGATCTGTCTTTTCAAGATTTTCATTTTGAGAGCTGCTACCAACAGCATGTGGTCCGATCCTATGTCCGCCCCTCTGTATGCTCTTACATCTCTTAAAGATCTTCTCCACTTCTTGGAAATTGTAAAATGGTCAATTTGGTTTCGAGTCCTGCCATCTGGCGAATGCCATGTCTCCTTATGAATCTGTTTGTGTGGAAAGATAGTTCCTCCAATGACCAAATTGTTCAAACTGCAAAATTCAGTAAAGAGCTGGCCATTTTCACTTTGTTCCCCGATTCCGTGCTTTCCCATGACACTCTCATTTCCATCGTTACTGCTTCCCACTTTGGCGTTTAGATCACCGAAGATGATTAGTAGATCTCTAGCACTAACATTGTCAACCACTGCTTGTAATCGTTCGTAAAAGGCATTCTTTACTTCTAAGTCAGCTTCATTCGTTGGAGCATACACGTTTACAACAGTTGTGTTTCTAAATTTTGATCTTATTCTCACTCTTATTATTCTTTCGCATTACTTTGTAGCCCTACAATAATCCTAACCAGACGTCGTGGCTTGGCCGGATACACCTTGGAATGTGCTGACTTTGCAGTGCACGTGGATCGCGATAAACAATGTGACAATCCTAGCTTCATTCTCGCTTCAGTTAGTTTCATTAATGTCTGCTGTGATCGTTTGGGTGCAGCACCTGTCAAGCAACTGTCCTTGCATTGAATTATGGGCTGAGCGCTCAGCGTGCGCTGATTGGTTAACGATGGTCATGTGACCACGCTGAGGCTCTCGCTCGGACGATGCTGGAGCAATTAGATCGCGCCGAGATGTAACGGACGACGGTATAGTCCGCGCGCGTGGTCTCGCGCCCCTTTCTATTAATCTTACTCTTTTCTTTTAAGTCCGTGTACGTTTTAAATTCAATATTGTGTAATTCGTAGTATTTGGTCGCGGTTTGATTTGATTTGTTACGTGTTACTTTAATCGATGCAATTATGTAAAGTTGTATTAGTATCATTAATAAATTAGCTGATCCCTATTCGCTTGTTTTATTATTCGTTCTTCCTGCTCCCAACCGCTACGAAGACTACAAGAGAGGCCGCTGTGACACAATGATCTGTCTTACGTCCACTGACAGCATAGGAGGTGGGATGGAATATTGCAGTGTGTTAGACGAATCCCGCCTCTTTCTTTTCCATGACAGAGGAATGTTACCTTCTAACATCAGTCGTTGTGTTCTAGGTCCGATGACAGCAGAGGTATTGGGATGGAGTATGTGCTAGACGGAGCAGGCCGCTGTCCCCTTCACGCGACATGGACACTCAAGCCTGCTTCCTCCTCAGCTCAGATGTTTTGTTACACCGTGCTGCTGAGTGTAGTTCTATGGGCCACCGCTGTCAGCGCCATGTGTCCTCCACAGTGCTTCTGTTACGATGACACCCTCACCGCTACCTGTACCAGCGCCAAGCTCGCTGTTTTCCCCATCCAGCTGAACCCCGATGTTAAACACATAGATCTCAGTGGCAACAGAATACCCAGCGTAGATTACACCTTGACCTTTTACATCAACCTCATTCACTTAGATCTTTCTCACAACAAAATTCATTCGTTAGGTAGTCACAATTTCGAAAGACAAGAAAATCTAACTTTTCTTAACATAAGCTATAATCATATTTCACACCTCGGGAAAGGAACATTCAAAGGCCTTAAAGTTCTAAAACTTCTTGACATTAGCAATAACTCAATAGAATCAGTAGATGGGGGTGCGTTCATAGACACTGTTGAACTTGAAGTGCTTAATTTATCTAACAACAAGATAACATCTTTTGAAGATCCGGATGTGTTTAGAAATCTTCGAAAACTGAAGTTTTTATATCTGGACGGAAATCAGATTTTAGATGTTCCGAGTCAAGTACTTCAAAAGCTTCCCTACTCGTCGATAGAACTCCTTAGTTTATCAAATAACTATATAGATACGTTGGATGACACGTCGTTTCCTTCGCCTGTTATGGGCTCCCTAAAGCGGTTATCGTTGGCCTCCAACGCTATATCGAGTATACATCGGTCATCGTTCAATTCTCTTCACTCTTTAAGTTACCTCGACCTCTCAGACAACAATCTTACCCTGGTGCCGACTGAGCAAATGTCTAAACTAAGTCAATTGGTTGAGCTAGATCTTAGCGATAACATGTTCACTGATCTACCTGCAGTAGCCTTTCAGAGTCTGTTCCATTTGAAGATACTGCATATTTCAAAAATGCCTCGGCTGTCCCGAGTGGACTCCAGAGCGTTTGTGGACAACATCCATCTAGAGTCAGTTTTAATGGACGACAACAAGGATATCACGCAATTACCCACAAGAGTGTTCCACGGAAATCTTCATCTGAAGCATATATCAATTAGAAGAAACTCACTGAGCACCATAGACGCTTCCCACTTCCCCGTAGATAACCTTCAGAGTTTGGATGTCTCAGAAAATCCTTTGACCTGCAACTGTTCATTGTTGTGGCTCTGGAAGCTGGCTGTTCAAGAGAAGAAGTCATCTGAAACACTTTATCAACCGTCAAACGAGACATCTGAATCAGACGAGTCCCCGGTTTTAAGACTAAGTGTTTCAAATCTAAGATGCGATTCTCCCCAGAACCTACAGCACAAACTGCTCGTAGATGTGCCAGAATCTGTAGTTCGCTGTGAAACGACTTGGCTCACGGTTGCCGCAGTGACTGGTTTTGTCCTGGCTCTTTTTGTTGTGACTTGTTTTGTGCTTCTTCTCATCAGCTCGGAGCGATCCTTATTCTCCTGTAAGAAGGCAAAGGACCCTAACGACGTGCCTCTGAGTGGAGACTCCAAACATTTGGCCCCTAACCTTCACGGAGGACAAGCACCCGTGCTGATGTTGATGCCGGAGAAGGAGTTCCCTAGCGACCCCCTCTATCTGAAGACTCGCCCTCCAGGCCAGGTGCGCGACTTAAGGTACATGGAACCATGGGTCCCTGTGAAAAGCGAACAGTTCAGTCCCGTTCACAACGAATATACGTTAGACATAACCAGTAACATTAGAAAACCTGCACATGTGGTTTACGTATAAATTGTGTGTACTTTTAATATCTAAAGTTATGTTGGCTCTGACTGAACATCATGTGATATGTAAAATTGAAGGGGCATATGATTGGCTTATTTTAGAAATACACAATAATTGTTCCATGAAAATTAAAGGTTATTCAATTTAAATAAATTAAAGTTATGATTATAACAATCATAATAAGAATAAATTAATCTCAAATTTTCGCTGAATAAAAAAATTGTTTTCAAAACATGTGATAACCATCACCTGCTTGAATTATGATTGGTAATAATATCACACAAAATATTATTATCTCTTAATACAATTATTTAATATTTTTCTCTATTTTAAGTATATATCTTTATGACCATCTTTCATAATTATTTAAATATATATATTGTTGGAGAAATGGGTTAATTCTTCAAAATAACCTAAGCAAGGGATTCAAATAATTGCGTAAATTATATAATTAACTTAATTATGCATCCATGTTATGTAGCTGGATCGTTAAAGTTTTATTAAACAAAGAAAGGAATATTTTTGTAAAATATGGCACGGATATAGTTTTATTTTTTCATCAGGAACACGAGTGAAAAAGATGTTTTATCCGTAAACGTAGAGTTAAAATAGGTACTTTAGTTTGTTTAAGTATATTAATAATGTTATATGAAATAAGTTTAGTTGCAAAATTACTTTTGCTATTGCATTTCATGCATAAAATCATATTAAATTGTCTAATGTTTTGCAAATAACTGATAGTCACAATATAAACTAAAATATTCAAATAATCACTAAGAGTACTTCTTCTTTGCAACTTGTTTTTATTGAACCTTCATTTCCTGTAAACTTATTTAAGATACCCTTCAATCTACAGTGTGATGTTTCATAGACTAAGAATTTGTACCAAATATTGCAATAAACTTGTAGAAATATATTAGGCTTTCTCTGATTGTAATTATATATTTTCTATCGTAGTGAATACATATTGTTATTGCGAACCTCGTATTTTATACCTTATATTTTGTACTTGTGCAGTGTAAAGATTTCAGAGCTAACACCATTTTTCACGTATGTACAATATTATGCTGTTCTTTATCAAAGACTGATACTACTGTGTGTACTTGCTGGCTAAGGTGAACTAAAATGTTTGGCATTATTTGAGCAATAATGAAGGAAAAGACTGTGTGTTTGTAAAGGCATTGTAAAGTACTGGCTCCGGATATTTGTAGTCTTAAAAATAGATTGAAGAATATTTTGATCTTAGTTTCTCAGAGTGTGTATACTTTGTTAAGTTTCAATTATATGAAGAGCTTCCTATACATTTATATATGTTTCGACATAATTTTTTATACATTCGATTTCGAAAATATTTTCTTCAATGGCAATCTAGTTATTCAGATGTAATCAAATCAAAATCACTTTATTCCTGCAACACACATAAAAATACAAAATAAGTGAAATATTATACAGAGAAAAAATTTCCAAAAAGGCTCTACGTTTGTTTCTAGAAGGGCGCTGTTATAATCAGTCACCATTAAGGCAGTTAACAATTTATTTTTGAATATCTGGAACAATTAAAACAGCTTTTTAAGTAATTTTTTTATTATTATCTCATGTTTTTATCTTTTTGATCTTGTGGGGTATTTTCGAAATGTATAGGTTATATGGTTTTGTTTCTAAAATTCTCTAAGCTTAAAAAATCGTATGCATGTTATTGCAAAGTTTTGAAATAAATATAATTAGGTTGTTTACAATAAGGCCGTATTAAAAAAAATTAAAATAACGTTTTTATCTTGATTGGAATTTGAAAACGACAATGATTTCGAATAGACACTACAACAATAACAATTAGGCCTACTTCTACTAATAAAATTAATGGCAACAAATTCTTGATTTTTAAATGGAACTAATTCATTATATCACTAGTGCAACGGTAAAATTAACTTTTAAACATTTATAAGCAGATAATAACTTTATACAAATATAAAGTCTTACCTACAATTTAAATTGCATTTTTGATCTAAATTTTACATATTTTATATTCAAAGGGGAAGTGGTGTAGTAAAGAATAGTTAATTGGAGAATACTTTGATGTGGAATTCGTTAGTAATGCAAAAATGAAAGTATTTACTACTGAGGTTCATTCGGTTTTGGTTCAATTGTTTTTATCACATTTTTTAAATAATTTATTCTTAAAAGTGTACAGTCCTGTTGTTCCTATCATTAACTTAATTATTAGTTATAACATTAACACATTGTCGTTGTTTATTTTACTTTAACCTCGTGCTACGTTCACGTTATAGTGTTTAAGCAGTCTTCCTATATTATATTTGTACTTATTTTAGTTAAGAAAAGAAAGAAATGTAAATAAGCCAACCTATTTGAATGTATACATTACACAGTGTATTTTATCTTATATTGTTTTCAAATTAAACATTGACCACGTTTACGATGTTTTGATTCTCTTTTTGCAAACCCAAAAACAGAAAAAATATGGGCAATGATCCATTATTTGGTATGAGAAACATATCACACATATTTATAAATAAACTTACACCGCTACTCTAATAATTATTTTCTTCATACATAGTCATGTTGAGATCACTTGGTTTAAGATCTAAATTTTGTTTAATGCATATAAATTTACTAAAGTAACCATTTGTAAGGCTATGTTTCATATTATAATTATTTACTTTTTAAAAACACTTATCATCCAAAGATTCAATTACATTATTTCTTGTACTGTCAATTACATTTTTAGTACTGTGATTAGGAATGGTCATTTATGTCATTTAGTAAGTTGTTTTTTTTTTGTTTTTTTTTTTACTGAAGTCAACGAATCAAAAATAATAAAATATTAAATACTTATGTATTTTCTAAGTAAAATAATATATAAAAAATATTTTTGGTTAATTTTTTAACTAGTCTTTTTCCTACAAAAATTTACGTTTAATTGAAACCCTTAACAATTTATCTTTAACAAAATTAATTTAATATTCTTTGATACAATCTTTACTTACATGATTTGAGCACAAATGAAAATAATTTTCTGTACAAATAGAAAATTGTAAAAGTGTGAAGCTACAAGAGGTAGCTGATTACAACCCTCCTCATGAGCCCTCTTGTTATCTTTGAGGGTCACGTCTCACCAAACGAAACTCATTAGCAGCAAGAACAGCCCAGCGGCAATTAAAACCTCTGGAGAAATAACACGGAATGAGCTTGGTTAGGTTTTATAATTATCTACTGAATCGTGACAATAAAGCTTTACAATGTTTCAAGCTGACTTTCACATGAAATATTAACTATATACGTTAAATGTTCATACAGCGATCACTTGATCAAAATATCGATAATGACGAAATTACATTATTTTCACTCTACAGAGATGTATGTTTCTTTTTGCTTAAAACACTAATACCGAAACCCTACCTAGGCTGACGTTAACCGAAACCTCCGGTCTGTGAGACCCCATTTGAAAAATAATGGACCCCACTTAGACACACACAAACCGAAACCCTCGGCCTGTGAGACCCCGCATTAAAATACACTAACGATGGGCTTCTGAGACGGGCATGTTATGAACAGACAACCTGTCAAGGTCACGGCACCCATGCAAAATGAACAAACAATATATCAATAGGTAGGGGAGGAAAAGGGGGGAAGGCATTAGGGAAATAGAATCTCCCAAGTAAACAGTGTTGCCAACATGCATTTTTGAAAATTCCCGTGGGCCTGTCAGACCGGGGTTTCGGTAGTAGTGTTAACACTGGACGCAATGAAATATAAATGCTTATGGTAAATTATTTTCCTAACGACTAAGGAATCAAGTATATCTAAACGGGTTAGTACTAATAGAGCTTGCTTGACAACCAAGGATTCAACAGTTCGGTCCTGGGAAAACGTTTACAATTTGAATCGCTTGGAACTGCTTTCAGATGACGTTGGCCACTGACCTTTAAAAAATTGTCGTGGCCAAATAAGCAGCTTATCTTAGACTGTAAACAAGGTATCGTTCATTCATTCAACGCTTATACTTCAATAATCTATGCTTACAATTCGTAGTCTGGTATTTATGTCGTTTTATAATATAATTTTAAATGTAATACTATAAATGTAAATGCTTGTGCTCTTTTAACACCTTACTAGATCCAGACCATGTACGTGGAACTTAAATGCAAATCATAATTAGATAACTATAAATTTAAATGTTTAATAGATTTATTTTTTAAGTTTCATTGTAATTTTTAGGTTATCATTAAAAAGTAGCAGGTTCCTTGTTAACAAATATCACTATCCAACATCGGCTTTTGGTTTAGATAATTATTCATTAATATTCTCAACAGAGATGGCAGCTAGCACAAGAACTCAACTCAGAATAAAACCAATAACCACTTTGGCTCTCAGGCTACACATCTATTTAAATCACCCACGAATTAGAACGAATAGGTGTTGAAATTAGCAATTTCCTTGTGTTTACACCTGTAGCCTTTTTGTATGAAAGTAAGTTTTTATGGAGAGCGGCTACCCTTTTGAAAAGCGAAGAATTAGGGTCAAATCCTTCCGAGCCGAAGTCCGAGACTAAACCACTAGGTTTGAGCAATTCAGGCCTCCAACCACCTAGGCTGACGACCTAGGCCGAGTAATTAGATTTTTATGCGCGGCATTTTCGGCCAGGCGAAATAATCGTCGGGCGTAATATAATGCAGTTTTTGCCCTTTTATGCAGTTTTTCCGCCGAGTGGAATCCGCTGGTTTTTATAATGTTCGCGGTGAAGGGTGCCAGTGCTGCAAACTTTTGTTCATTTGGCCATCATCAGTCACACTAGAAGGACCCTTGTTTATCGCTTTTGACGTATTTGTTTTTGAAGAAAAATAGACGACGAGGTGTTCACAAACTGATATGGTGTGCTGCAAAATGATTGTATTATTCTAAGGATTTAAACAAAAATGTAAGCTCAATTACACTCATCATGTAAGTTTTTTTTGCAATTATATCACTCCTAGTTGTATCCTTGATCTATCACAATGATCATCTATTTACAACGGTTAGGCGATTTCGATACTCTAGATGACAGAGCATGGGGTAGGTTGGCAGCAATGTATTTTACACGACGGAAAACACCGTGGCATAAAAGGGTTCCATTTGATCCCATGTAATAAAACGCCCCAAACGGAATACCCAACGGATTACTCCCGACGGAAAACGTCGTTCATAAAAGATGCCTCAACTGAGTTAGCCTGAGTTAGTAGAATTAGCCTACTAGTCCAACCACGCCATACCAGGAAAACACTCAAAGGGTGATTACACTAAATGATAATCAACGAAAGTACCTCATAAGAACCTCATAGTACATGGTCAAATGATTCGAATATG